AGCGCTCTGCTCAGCTCCCTCACGCGCCGCAGAGTGATGCTCCTGGCACAGATTTTTACCTAGCCGCCCGCCTGCCTGGACTGTTAGCTGCAAGGCTAACAAGAAATTTGCCCTGGGCATTTGGGGGTGGCTTTTTTTGCCGCCCCCTGGAAAATGCCTCGCAGCTAATACGCCCCTGGGCGGAATATCACCCTAACTGGGGCCCATATAACCACACAAAGTACTTACTCTGCAACACGAAGGCACGCCACACCGATTGATGCCTTTCTTTCAGGCAGCCAAGCAGCCCAGGTAGCATGCAAATCCGCAGCCTACAATAAAACGCCACTCCTAGGCCTTGAGGAGTTTCTTGGCAGACCGGGAGAGGGACGCATCTACCCAGACTACTCCCCACCTAACACGGCCACCGGCACACCAAACATGGGTCACTGTACACCAAAACCTGCTACTAGCACCTGTATGGAAGGTAGGGACATCAGGGAGATGTTGCTACAACGAGCACAACCTGAGCCAGCACACGTGGCACACCGGACAAAAACACAGCCCCAGCCTCAGAATCAGATAGGGAGAAACCCCCTAAAATACAGACTCCCTTGGCTAAACTCTGTTAAACAAAGCTTTTATTAAGCATTATGTAACATACAATGTCATGCTTTTTAAAGTGGGACACGCAGGTCTCGTTCAACTGGTTACAGCGGAAGAAATCAAACATGCGATTTAGGTTAGCAATTATCTAGAGTGCAAAAGGAGCGTTATCAACCCTATATTTGGTGGTGTATTCGTCAGTTTAGCGGTCATCTCGTGCCCGTTCCAGTGTTGGGCGGTTAAAATAGACGCTAGTTGATGTATGTATTGTGTGTCGTTGGGTAGATTGTGGATGTCGTATCTAATGCGTTAATCTATAGATATATTGTAGGATGAGGTCAAAATGGTGGGTTGTTGAGGGTGTTAGGAGAGAGAGAAAATCGGGGGTGGGGGGGAAATCGGCTTCGGACCACCTTTCCGGAGATTGTTCGTGTATTTCCCTCTCTTGGGGGTGCGTTCGGTGTGGGTGGATGAGGGCTCGATAGGTATTCTACAGTCCCCTCATGTCCCCGATTCACACCCCCGCCCCCGCAGTTTGCCCCGCCACGTATGCCAGCCATGGCCGCCACCTGTTCACGTGTTTCTCCTCAGTACCCAAGAGGGATGCATGCACCGATTCTGCAGTGTATATTTCATCTACTTTTTCCATCCATTGTGCCATCGTGGGGATTGTGGTCTGTTTCCAATGTAGCCGGATCATGGCTTTGGCAGCATTCAGGAGGTGTCTAAGGATGGATCTGCGGTATGTTCCAATGGGGGTCGGTGTGGAGTGTAGCAATGCTAGTTCTTTATCGAATTCCCCCGTGTCTCCTAGTATCTCTTTGGTTTTTTGTTAGATCGCCTCCCAGAATGGTATGATATGGGGACAGTCCCACCATATGTGTGTTATCGTTCCTGGTCCCGTGCCGCACTCCAGTATGTGTTGGGTGTTGCCGGGAAGATTCTGTGCAGGCTGTCAGGTGTTTTGTACCACAGTGCCAGTAGCTTGTAATTAGTCTCCTGGTATTTGGAGCTTGATGAGCATTTGTGGTGTAGGATAAGTATTTTTTCCCATTGGGTGTCAGTAAATGTTTTGGCGAGCAATTGTTCCCATCGTCGTCTGTAGGTGTTTTTGGTATCAAGGTGTCCGACTAGGAGATTCTGGTATAGGAGGGAGATAGCTTTGTCTAGGGATGTTTTGTTGTCACATAGGCCTTCAAATCATGTTAGGTATCGATGAATTGCTTCTCTGTTCGGGAGTGTCTGGTAGTAGTGTCTAAGCTGCGCGTAATGGAATGTTTGTAAGCTCGTCGGTGGGTGACCCTTTGTCATTTCTTGTATTGGTTTCATTTCCACATTGTGTAGCGCCATGTGTAGGGGGATGTGGTCTCCCCTGTCAATGAAGTCCCAGGCCTGTGGTGGTGTTCCCCCTCCTATTTTTGGGTTGTGTTGTATTTGGGTCATTGGGCTTGGCGTTGGGGATACGTGGGGAGCTCCCCTAATATTGTCCCAAACCCTCAGCGTGTGTGCCACCGTAGAGTCTGGGTCTAGGGTGGGTGGTATTGAGCGTCCAGTGTTCCAAATCATTGGGATCAGGAATGGATGCAGGTGGCCTTTGTCAGTCCAGTATTCTCTGTAGGATGGACGCTTGGTGGTATTTGCGCAGGGGTGGGAATGCTAAGCCCCCCCAGGACCAAAAGGCTGTGTCAGAGGCTTTCCTAGTTCCCATTCCAGACAAAGCGGGTCATGGCGGTGCGTAGTGATGTGAAAAAAGATGGCAGGGCCAGGGGCACTGTTTGATAAAGGTACAATATTCTGGGTAATATGTTCATCTTCAATATCGCGATTTTGCCGAACCATGATATGTAGGGGTATGACCACTTCATATCCTCACCACTCTTCGGGCGCCATGTTTCAAATAAATTAAATCGCTTGTTCATTGCTTGTTTTATTTGTTTAGTGAATTAGTTATTTGGCAATTCAAATTTACAGAATTCAGGCATTGTGTTAATTGCCCAGAATTCAGACAAATCGGGACAAAACTGAAAGTGCAACAATACAAATGACGCCCAGCTGCTAGACATTTGGCAAGAATGCCGTAGTATTCAGGTTCATATGTACCAAATTTACACTATTAAATCAACATTGACATACCCTTCAGTCACCCGTCACAACAGCAACCTTACTGTTACTTGGCGGAACAATTGCTATCCTTTCCTGAAGATATGTATTCCTGTACAAACCACACACCTCCTTATAATGAATGGTTGGCCAAGGCTGAGGAAATTTGCATTAAGGAATTAATTATAAATATTGTATGTTTACAATAAAATGTGGTTCCAATGGCTTTCTTTGCTTCTCCTTCCTGTACATCAACCTTCCATCTTACAATACAGTGTTTACATTGATTGATAGGAATACCTCCAGTGGCCGTCACTCAGACGGCCACCAGAGGGACTTCCTATCATGTATGGCCCTAAAAAGGCCATGTACACATCAGACATATTAAAATACATCTGACGTGTGCAGGAGAGAGAAGGCACTGTGTGCGCGCCTTCTCTCTCCTGCCTGTCAGCAGAGTAGAGGGGGTGGGCAAAGACCACGAGCTGAGCTGTCAGTCAGCTCAGCTCACAGCCGCACACACCGCGCGCATGCGCGGTAGTGCGCTCAGGACTTCATAGGGTGGCATGAATGCCGCCCTATGAAGTATGTGCGCATGTGCGGCGAAGCTGCGCATGCGCACAAGGGAGCAATGACTCTTCCGAATGGAAGTGTCTGCTTGCTCCCTGCTCGCGCCCGCCTATTTCGTCATTTTGACGAAATAGGGGGCGCAGCTTCACAAGGCTCCCGGCGCTGGAACGAGGTGAGTAAAAAGGGCTGCCTGGAGTGTCCCTTTAAGTAAGAGAAATATACTCGTGCATAGTTTCCAGCCATTAACAATTAAGAAATTGACAGTATTATGCTACATATAACATTAAAGGTGAGATGTAATCCATAGTAGCTCAGGGTACATCAGATGAGAGACGAAAAAGAGTGGGGGTACAGGTGGATCGAACTGGAACCCTCAGCCCCATCAGTCGGGTTCAGGCTGAGAACCCCACCTCCCCCTATCAAGGGATGCACAATACCTTGCCCCGTAAGGCAATCCCTTGAACTCAGTGACACGATATTTAGCATGGAAAGCCCCGTCATTAGACTAGATCAGCTTGACCATTGTGTCAGCCTTTAGAGGCTGAGTATACTAGGTGGCCAAAGGATGGCACACCTCCATCCCAGACTGCTAAATGGAGTCAGTAGTAATCAGAAAATTACTGGGCTGTCCCTTAGCCAAACCAGTTGAACGCAACTTCAGTGCTATCACTGTATCAGGGTGCCTTACCTGTGTGGCTACAAAACAGCTTTAATCAATGATTTATGGGCATGATAAATCTCTGGTAGAAGAAACAGGCAAGCCAAGATCGGAAACTGTTCAGTGTATGACTTCAAAGGAAATAATAGTAAAATCAACATTATACAACACATAAAATAAAGCATAGCAAAACACAAGGTTTATGAGATATGTTACGAATGCCAGTCCACTGCTGCTCAGATGCCATTGCATCATGGCTAAGGTTCGCGGCACCATAATCCATAGGTTGAAACGGGGAGATGTTATCTATGTCCAAGTTTGGTGTTGGGGTAGATTGCTGCTGTAATGCAGGATTTGGTGAAGGAGGTTGTGTAAGATCAAGTCATAATTTGATCAACCGCACGCATGGTCCCATGCCCAAAACTGTTCCAGAGAATCATGACTTGCAGTCGGTCTAGTTTGATAGTTTAAAAACACAACTACCGATAAAAGTCAATGTTCTTACCCTAGAGCTTGCTTCCCTTGCTCGTGGGAACGTTTCCACCGAACAGTGTCTTTCTAAGTGTTGTAGAACCGAATACAGACGATCATGGAAGTCCAGTGGTGTTAGGGAGTTTCAGTGTCTGAAAATAGTTCCATAAACTCGACAACTAAACACCGCTGCCTGTGTTCATGTGAACAAGATGGTTCTCAACTCGTGGTCATCCATTGGAAATGCAGCTACCCAGACGAATACTTAGAACACTGCGGTGGAAGTGGCTATAAAGTATCAGTTAAGCTTAACAAGCTCCACGGTGGTCTCCGGTTCGTGCAGCTGTTCGGTTCCCGAACCATTTAGCCCAAATACATGAACGGAGACTTTTATATTACATTTTATATTACATTTTACAGGGTCCATAGTCTCTGGGAAGGAGGCTGGCAAGCAGGCTCCTCCAGGAGCTCGTGGCAAACTCACTTGGAAAGGGGAGTTTGTCACAGGCACTAACAGCTTCTTTTGCTGCAACACGACTATTATCTATAACCCAGGCCCGAAAAGTGAGGTTGATCAAAATAATGAGGCACCTACTGACACTGGGGTAAAGTTTTGACCGGCCGCACACGTGGACAAAGCCCACAATTGATCCAGAGCAAAAGTGGTTTTGACCAATCGAATATTGTGAGTTCCTGTGGTCAAATAAATGGGTGCACCCCTTGGATCTTATGGAGTGATTGTTCCTCATAGTCCATAGTACTTTCCCTGCAATTAGCGCTCACCTGGCATGTTGGTAAGTGGGGAAAAACAGCAAAACAAACCAGTAACCGCGTGGTCAAGTGGTCGAAAATAGTTCCAGGGCGTTTGCGGATAAGTACCGCTGTGAGCGTTCAGGAGAAGAAAATGGCCACCATCTACCAGGGAGCATGTTTTTGGTAATATGTTCGGTAGAAGGAAGAACCAGGGGGAAAACAGTTTGTTTGGGGAAAATAAAGGGAGATACAGGCAACCGAACGGGGATAGGACAGGGTCCACCACAGTCTGTGTTGATTTTTCAAGTAGGCATTACCTCTAATCTGCTTAGATTTGCCCCACATTTGTCAGGGACTGCTAGGAAAGGGATTTAAACTCCAGTAACATAGGGATTTTAGCTATTAGTGCATAGTTTTCATGTTCCCTACGGAGCTCCAGTGAAATATGTTCGCTCTAGTCAGTCGCTAGCTCTGCCTCCCGGACATTTAATCTTGATTTTATTTTGCTAATATATTAATTCTGTCTTTGATGGAAGCCCTTGGTTTTATTCAATCTAGAAATATCAATTGAATTATTACAATGGTATTATTACAATCGTATTCTCTTCTCTTTCTGCATGCTTGCCCAATATACTGCAGGCCAAGGACAGGCCAGGAGATATACTACACATATAGAACATTATCAGACTAGGTTTTTGCCTTCTTTTGGATCAACAGCAAAAACAAATGTGAGAAAGTCTGAACTTTATGGAGACGTCTCTTTTTAGCTATGTAATTATGGGGTATGGGGATTTGGGATAGTGCGCAAGTAACTATTTTCTTTCTTGTTTTGTTTTGTGTGTTTGTGATACTTTTAGAAAAACTTCATTTGGAACACAACTGCAGATGAAAGAACAGAATACATTTGATACTGTCACTTTAAGAAAATATAATTTATTGAATTTTGGTATTTCCACTTTAGTAATCCTCTGTAGCAATATGAATTGAAAATAATAATGCATAAGTAAAGATAGATCCCGCTTGGTATTGCTTCACAGAGATAATTAGACTTCATTAGTGAAAAATAAAGAAGATCCTGATTTGGATTATATAGCAACGTCCATTAGACTTCAATAGCAACACAAAATAAAATAAATGAATTAAATTGGAAAAGAGTAATTAGCTGAATGGTTACTTCCAATAGTGCAATTTAGGAGTAACTGAAACCCAGAAGGCAGACAAGTGTATTCCCTTTTTATCCTTCCAAATAAACATAAGGCTTGAATCAATTATTATTCCAGTAACTGGAGAACTTATCTTGCTTTCTTTGGATAATGAGCATGGAAGTCCTTTCCAGAATAGTGTGGATTATGGTTTCCTGTGGAATATGGAGGAATTTGTGGTGATGTCTGTTCCTAGTCTGGGAGTGGAGAAGTCAGCACAGACAGGATCAAGCAGGAGAGGTTCGGTACACAGGTAATCAAATAGAAGAGCTCCTTCGGCAATCAGCAACAAAGTAACAAGGTATGCGAGAGGCACAAATTGATTGAGCAATTTGGATGCGGCTCGGCTTCCTTTTGAAAGGGAAGTGCGTGACATCAGATGCATGGGCGGAGTTGGATCGGTGAAACCCGGAAGTCATACGGGTAATGCCGATCGGAAGGAAGATATGGGTGAATCCTAAAAGTGTTGTGGCGGATGTGTACTGTAGTCATTGCTGCCGCCCAACAGTGGGTGATTGAACTCAGGACTTAATTTTGTGTATTTATATCAAGATGGCGCCAGGTCCCGGGTCATCCTTACAGCTACTGGGGACTCCGCCTATAGGGAGGTGGGGGCTGGTTACATGACTAGCTCTCACTATAAATTCCCTTGGTCAGTGCATGTTTGTTCTTGTGCTTGCCCCAGTCTCCTGGTCCTATTTCCTGATCCTGGTTCCTGTTCCTTATTCATGGTTCTGTTTCCTGATCCTGCTTCCTGATTCTTCTTCCTGGTTCCAGATTCCTGGTTCCTGATTCTTGGTTATACCTCTTGGCTTCTGACTTTGGCTTTGACCCTGACCGCGCTTCTTGTCTCTGACCTTTGGCATCCTGCTCCCAGTTTCTGGATTTCCTTTTTTTTGATCTTCGCCTTGACTTTTGACTTCACTCTTATGTTGCTAGCCCTGACAATTGGACCTCCTGACACTGCTTCCTTTCTGGCTTTATAGCTGTGTCTGTAAAAAAAGGCATCCATCCCTCATAGATCTCCCAGGTTCTCATATCACTCTCATGCACCTGGGAAAGTCATGTTTGCAAGGGATTGCGGTTCTTCTGCAAGTTCCTCTCCAAGCAAACAAACTGGTAGGTTGCCACAACTATAGACAAACACTGCACCACCTACACACACAACATACCTTACACACAGACTGTACATACTATACACACACTATGGTTCCCCTTTGCACACATTATATCCCCTGTAGACACACACTAGATCCACTGTACACAAACACAACTTCCCCTTTACACACATACACTACAACCTCTATAAACATTACAGTCCTTGGCCACACACCACAAACAGCCACACCTTAAAGCAACTATTTATACAAAACACCACACAACAAACACCACTCTCCCTCTACACACATGCAATACCACATACAGCCACCAAACGCATGCACGATAATTTTTCTTGGCTTTTTTGTCCTCTGGTATCTCACTTATGGACACATCAGAGACCATTTACAAGCAAACTCAGTGCTGCACATTACACAGGGCATTTTCCCATGTGAGAACTCTTTAGCAGGGCTCTGTCCATGGGTTGCCCTGCAAGAGCACTAAAATTAACAAAAATTAACATTCTCACCTGGGGGGACAAGCTTGTTATTGGTGATGACACTACACGCCCCCTCCCTGGCTCCACCCCCTACCACTGGGCCCCTCTGGGTGTGTGACTGATCGCGCGACTGATCAGACGTATGTCAGTGGAGCTCTGCATCTATCTGGTATTTTACCGTATTAATAACCAGCGGAAGCCTAACCACAATCGCACCCCCTCAGAGACACAATGGGGCACAAACTTTACCCACCAGAGATCCCCTAACAACCAGATATTAGGCACTCATTCCAAGATGGCGCCCGCCACGAGGTTCGAGGAGGAAGCCTCAGAGGAATCCCAGGAGGATTCCTTGCCTCCTCCAGACAGAGTGTGAACTCCCCGGAGACTGAGTCAGAGGATGATTCGTCTCCCTATACGAAGGGGGACATGAAAAAGTTACTCCTGGACCTGCATGCAACGAGGAGAGCAGACCTCCAAGAGACAGAACAGAAGGTAAGAGCTCTCCAACAAAAAATCAGAAGAGTGGAGGAGAGGGAACAGGCCAGAGCCGCATGCTTACAAAATAACGAGACCCACCTGGAGGGTCTAACCCACCAAGTCCAGAAGTTACAACGTGCGGTAGACACGATCGAAGCCTGACATAGGCAACGCAGTATGCGCCTGAGAGGCATACCACAGGAGGTAACATTGCCTCAATGGGCCTAAAGGTAAGATCAAACCCCTCAATGATACTAACTGCATTTCATGTACGTAAGGCAGCTACATCCCCGGCTGCTGCCCCAAGAGATACAATTATTGTCACCAGAGACATTACAGTGCGCACAGCAATTATGGGCCATTCCAGAATGTTAGGGGACGGTTCAGTATGAAGGAGCATCAGTGTCACTCTTTAACGACATTCTGTTTGCTGCACTCGTAGAACATTGTAAACTGGCACCAGTTGCAAAGAAGCTGAGGGACCACTCGGTCCATTACAGCTGGGGAGCCGATGGTGCTTTATAAGTCCCACAAGGAGACAAGACCCATACACTATCTTTGACTAAACTTGCAAGCTCGACATCCAGAAGTTGAAAAACCAAGGAGTACCCAAGATAAGACACACAGAGACCCGGGAGAAGGAACCTTGCTGAACCGACCCAGGTCCACCAAGAACACAGGTTCTACATGCTTATTTGTCACTTTAAAAGATTTGTCCCAAGATTACACCTGTGGCACAATGCCGAGCTGTTATATGTCACATCGTACTGACAGATCATAATATTAAACAAGCATTTACCTGTGTCACTTAGTCCACTTAACAGGACTATAGAGGAACTCTATCATACTACTTCTGGCAAGATTACCGCTTCTGCATACATAGAGTACTAATTATATGTAACGGTTCACTTTACTTTATCATATGTTGTTTCTTTTTATACCTTGATGTAAATGTATACATTTGTATGCAAAATTCAATTTAAAAAAAAATTACATTAAAAAAAAAAGAATATGCGTATAGCTTTAACTTTCTAGTGAACAATCTACTGAGCACAAATACCCTGCTGCACATTTTCTCATCTTGTTATGAGTTAGATCTGGCATGAGTCAGGAGTTGAGAATGTTTTCAATTATGTCATGTTATAGAGAATACAGTTATATTACAATGTTGCTTAAGTCACAAGCAGAGACAACACTTCTTTAGGAAACGCAGAACAAGAACCAGTAAGAAAACAAAACAGATGATTCTGGCCTCGGGGTAAGACAATTACTGTTTTCTTTGCATCAGTTGCTAATGAGCTTCATTAATATTTCTCATAACTCATTTCTCAATACAAAACTTTAAGCGTTTAGAGCAAAATTATATGATTTTCAGTAATTAATTTATTTGGTTCATATATTATACATAGATCAAATGTCACTGTGTAATTAATGGAATATTACTTTACATAAAGAAACAGCCAAGTCTACATTCTCTACATTCTACGTGATGTGTATTAAACAAAACAAGACTGTGTACAAAAACCTAGATTCTTGTTGAAACATTTTGAAAGTTGGAAGTTGTTTTTACTAAGAAATCAAGGACTGTTTTGGTTTTTGGAAATGTAAACAGATTTTATGAATCTGGAACTCAAATCTAAATATTTTGTTTGTATTTGCGTTTAAAAGATGAGACACACCTAAATGATTTGATTAACGTAGACGTCCACATCAGGAGACTTATCAATGCAAAAGTGCAAAGTTATTGCCTGGAAAATTAAAGAACAAGAAAAAAATTAAATAGAAAGCATATGTGCATGTATACAGTCTCCATTCCTGTGATTAGTGCCAGATGATATTGGTTGTCTCTTTAGGGGAAAACAGCACATGTACACTTTTTATCCTTGTATATGTATTTTATTCCATGAATTGTTTGTGGTAGAAGTACATTTTCATTTTTTATATATTTTCTTATTGAAATATGGACTGCAACTCCATGTATCCATATGCAGATGATGGTGGTGGGAGCTGTAGTTGTCAACAGTTAGAAAGCGTTTTCTTAAACACCAAGTTTTTTTCCCCCCTTCCGGTCAATATGTACATGGGTTACCACTTTTTGCATTGCAACAAATGCAAAATTAATGAGAATTCTAGAAATCAATTAATTCTGAAAAGGATTTTTTTTTTTTAACACAAGTTAGCAGGCTGGATAGTTTAGTACTCTCATTGCAGAAACCACAGATCATATACTGAAATCTTCACTTATAACAGACACTCTCCCCAGAGCAGCAAGGGATACTACATATTAATGGATCCAATGTGTTATAGTACAACAGGATCATATAGGAGAATAGTTGATAAGAAAAGGTTTTGAAACAAAGATCACCTTCTCAAGTGAGTACATAGTGAAGGGTAAATTTCACAAATTATTTAAGTGCACTCTAAGCACAAAAAAAACAACAACTTTAACTTAATGTAGTGGTTTTGGTGTATATATCATGCTACTGCAGTCTCACTGATCAATTATCTGCCATTTAATAATTAAATCACTTTACCTTTGCAGCCTCAGCCACACCTCCTCTGACTGTGACTTACATCGTCTCCCTACACACTTCCTGTCATGTGAAATCTAAGTTTTAAAGTAACATTATAGGGTCAGGAACACAAACATGTATTCCTGACCCTATCATGTTAAAACTACCATCTAGCCCCCCTGGTCCCCTCTTGCCTTTCTAAATATAGTAACATCTAACTTGTATTCAAGTCTGCAGATGCTGGCTCTGCCTCTGAACTGCCTTTGTCTGCTGACATCATCAGAAGTGGTGGTCTGAGCCAATCACAATGCTTCCCCATCGGATTGGCTGAGACTGTCAAGAAGGCAGATCAGGGGCAGAGCCAGCATGATTCAAACACATTCCTGGAAAATCATCATCTCCTCATAGAGATACATTAAATAAATGCATCTTTATGAGGAAAGTTCAGTGTCTCTATGCAGAAGTGGGATACAATGAATGGCAGTGCTGCACATTAGGCAACACTGCCCAAGGAAGCACCTCTAGTAGCCATCTGAGGAGTGGCCAGTGGAGGTATCCCTAGGCTGTAATGTACACACTGAATTTTCTCTGAAAAGATAATGTTTACAGCAAAAAGCCAGAAGGGAATGATTTTACTCACAAGAACAAATACAATAGGCTATAGTTTTTCCGGTGACTATAGTGTCCCTTGAAACTTCTTTTATTGCAAGGTGTGTTTAATATAGAATTTATCTCCTGCTCTGTTAATTGCCTGAAATAGCATGCAGGAGTCTCCTGTGTGTAAGTAAAGTTCAATTAAAAGATCAAGAGATAAAACTGTTTTGTACATTCTCATTGAAAAGTAAACAATTTTTTTCACTGAGGCTGTGTGAGTCACAGCCAGGAGAGGACACATAAACACAAACAAAAGTCATTTAACTTCTAAACCGCTTAGAGTATCCCTTTAGGCAAACCTTATTATCAATCTAGGACTGTGTTAGAGTTCTTTGCTGTAGTATGTCTACTATTGTATTATACATTTATTACCTGCTTTCATATGTCATGGTGTCTGAACTAATATTTTGAACTCGGTAATCCATGGATTAGGAAAAGTTTCAACTCTGAGGGTGTGCAGATTTATAGAATAGGTGACGACACAGAAAGTTAATGAGGAATGCAACTTTAGCAGTACTCAATAATGCAATAATTAAATGTCCCTTACTGGCACTATATAATAATGTATCTTTAATTTTGCACAGAGCACTTTTTTCTTCTTAGCTTTTTATTCTTATTATTATTCGTATTTATATAATACCAACCAGGTCCGGACTGGCCATTGGGAAAACCGGCAAATGTCCGGTGGGCCACGATGACCATGGGCCAAGGCCAGCAGGAGAGATCAAGGGATCTTCCCTGCCGGCCCATGCACTGGCCCTAAGACGGAGTTCTGTCCCCTCACGGGCCGTTGGAAGGAAGATTGCACAGTGAGCAAAACGCTCTGTGCATGCAGGGTAAGCAGACTGTCTTCTCGCGAGCGCTGATATTAGCAGGGCATTGCCATGGTAACCCACGGCAACGCTTTGAAAGACCGGCACTCATGAGAGACAGACGTGGTACAGACTAAATAACCTGATTGCCGGACCAACAGGGATTACCTTGCGGTGTACCCCCTCTCACTGGACCACCAGGGATCTGCATGCTCCCTCTCCATCTGCAAGGTTATAAGTGGAAGGGGGAGAAAAAAATGTTGTTGTTTTATTTTTTTAATTATTAAATTAATTATTTAAGCCTCTCTCCTACTAACTATATCCACATACCCTCTCATATACATGTACCCATCTCAACACATACACACTTTGACAGCCCTGCTCCACTTTTATTCTCTGCTATCCCACTATTGAGAACACCAGAGACAAGTCACCAGCAAAGGCAGCGCATGATTACATTGTACAACGCCCTCCCAAAAACAGGACATTTACTTCACCCAAAAGCACTGGATGCTCTGTGGGGCATCACAATAACATAATCATTTGGCAGGGTAGGGGCGGGGGGGGCGTGCTTGTCAATGGTGATGACAAAACACGCCCCCTATCTGGCCCCACCCCTCCTAGTGGGCTGCTCTGTCTTTAAGTGCCCGGGCCAAGTTTTTGTCCCAGTCCGGCCCTGATACCAACTTATTCCCATTACATCTCTTATAATGGGATCATGTGTTTGTAATAGTATATGTTTTTCTTTTTTAATAAGAATAATCTCACAATCCTTTTTGTTTCTTTAGAATGCTCAATATGAAGATCGCACAGTTTATTCAATGTCTTTTCATCATCATTACCCTTTGTACTTTCTATGCAACAGTAAGTGATTCATAAAATGTGCCATTATTTTAAAACTTTTTATTACTTTTACAGTTTATTATATTTTAGCACAGAGATATACTTGTATAAACATTATCCTATTTTGTGGAAACTGTAGAAAGAAGAGAAAAAAAGCTATTGTCATACATACGTTGCTTACTTTTAAGTGGCTCTGTCACTTCGCTTGCCTCTGCAATATTTTACAAATATCCTCCTCGGTAACATATCCAGTTGATGGTGAAATATGGTAGTAGAAAGTGAGAGGGAGCTCTTCTCAACCCAGGATGACACGTTTTTCAAGTGACAAAAAAAAAAGCCATATGGGTGAAATGCGTTGTGATTTAAAAGATTGTGGGGATTGTACCACCAACGCCGTTTCCATCGAGCATGTTTACTCCGCTAAATGTGAGTACATTTAATTTATTCTAGCATCGTTTATTCTCCATTTAAAACAGAGAGCACTGTTCTTCTCATTTTCATCTTTTACTATATGTCCATTGGAATATACGGAGAAACATCCTTTTAAGTCATATCTGTGAGGGGGGATTATACTGCTCTTTGAAGGTCTTTCTTTATACGCATGTTCTGAAATTATCACAAGACGTACCTGTGTCCTTATAAAGTTCCTGGTTGATACTTCATCAAATATCCAGTGACAAGGATTATATTTTCAGAAGCAGAAACAATTGAGCCAACAGAAGGCTCCTTGTTTGTGAGTGTATTTCTAACATGGCATTGCTTCTGCCCTTGTCACAAACAATATCACACTATTGTTGTTCTCTCTCTCATTTATCTTTACTTCATATCTTGAAACTTGTCTAAATCAGTGATCACATTGGACTACCTACTGAAATCACCACCATTACCAAGAATTTTTTTTATCTTTAACAAGGCCTACCTTAGTGAATATATAGCCAAGTTATATTATTTATATGTATTTTACCATTTAGTAATAAGATAAGTATATAGTTTGTCGACGCAACCTGTTTTCTCTTTTTTGCCTGTTTTATGCTCTTGAATGCTTTATGCTTTTGCCTGTTTTATGCTCTTGAATTGTTAGGCTGTCATTTTGGAGTCAGCGCTGTATCAATCTATCCTAATGTTAAATATTACCACTCCAGCCGACTCCATCAGTCAAATCCAAATATTGAATGAGATATGCTTTCTTAGCACTTTATTTTTTGGTAATGAAAGGTCTAGGATTGGTCGATTATGTATTAGCCACTTTCTGGTTTGATAAGCACTCATTGAGCCCTGTGTATTTTTTTTTAATATGAAGATAGATATGTAGTGACTGGCACTTTCTCTTTCTTGAACCCCTCTAGACTCCACTCATTTGGTTGTCCCTCTAAGTCACCTCCAAATGACCCTAGGTCCCCCATTTTACTTTTTTTTTACCTTACCTTTATTTCTTCTCTGGATCTATGCCTTAGGGACTGTCATTTGAGGTGTACCACATGGGCTTCATCTGCCCACACTAGCTCAGCCTGTGAAATTCACATACATACCCAGTTGAACACTTGGGCATTTACTATTGTCAGAACTTTGGACCGAATTCCGGCTATTTGTCCATTCGTCAGAAAGACAAATGAACAAATAAATGTGACATTGAATGAAGCGAAGACCGCATTGCAATCAAACTTTGCTTGATCGTTTAGTTTATTACAAGGAGGGAGCTACTGGCTTGTGGCTTCCTTCTTGTAATGTGTAAAAATAGAAGCGGCGGGGAACTGTGCTCCTCGCCACTTCCTAAAGCCCCCTCATGCTCCCCTCACTCTATGGGGGTCAATATGACCCCATCTCAGTATAAGGGAGGTTGAAATCTCCCTCCTGCTGCTACTCTCTACGCCCCAAGTAGGGATGTGTCTACTAGACAGTGAACAGCCAGTGGCTGCTCATTGTTGTAAAAAATAAATAAAAATAAAAACCTACAATCCAATAAAGGGGGGCCTGACAGGTAGAACTCCTAATATAATTAATGAGGAGTGTCCCCATCCAGCACCCCGGGAGTATGGGCTATTAAAATAAAAAGGGCTATTAAACTAAAAGGGAGTGTTCCCCTCCAGCCACTACCTATTAGCACAGAAAGAAACAATGTGTGTGAACACCCACCACAGTGTAATAAGTGATTAATTTATATCAACAGAAAGGAACTTTCCTGTATAGGATAAGATTTCCAGTAGTATCCCAAAAGACTTCCTCTTGTCTTCCACACAACACAAGCAAAAAAAGGGGGATGATCTGCTGAACCAATCATAAATAAAACAACATAGCGTATAACTGTGTATGATGACAAATTGTAGAAGTTATATTCACAAATGGCCACTCACACTTTTGCTGAAGTTTGCAAGCCTTGAATATTTTCCTTTTCAAAATAGGAATTCCAAATCCTCTGTCTGGGTTAAAATCTCCATAGATATATTGGCATGTATGTGCTCAGGAAAGAAATGTATATAAAAGAATATAAGATGCACATTCAGAGTGAAGTACAAAAAAGTATTTAATAACTTACATCAAGATATAAAATCATCAGTGTAGTCCCTCTATGTCACCACCAGGGGTCCTACGCGTTAGGACTAAAGGTTTATTGTTTATTGTTCATTGTTTATTTGTACCTGTTGATCACACACCATACAAGTCCCTGAGGAAGTCCTATTTGGTTGGATGAAACGCGTAGGACCCCTGGTGGTGACATAGAGGGACTACACTGATGATTTTATATCTTGATGTAAGTTATTAAATACTTTTTTGTACTTCACTACCTATTAGCAGCAGATGGGGGTCTATTTTATAATGAGGGGGAGAAACCCCCACATTACTCACTTATTAGCAGCAGCTGGGGGCCCTAAGCAACAAGGGAAAGGACCTATTGTCTCCTCCGCCCCCACCCATTGCCGGCAGGGAACCTGTTATGGAAAGAAACATACATTTTCCAAGCCAGTTTAGTGAATAGGGAGTAATTGATTGGCTGAGAGCGTCAACTGATCACTCTCAGCCAATCAGCATGCCCCTGCCGAGCACTTTAGAGTTAAACTGTTTAACCTTTTGAGGTAAGAGCGCCTCCAGCAGCCTCCTGGCACCATAGCAACTTAATTTAGATGAAGTTGTTTTGGTGTCTGAAGTGTCCCTTTAACCCCATGTACCTCATCGCTGAGCTAATTATATGTTGTACTGTATTTAACATCATAAACCTGTAGATATTGACATATTCAGCTGCTATCAGTTTTCTAAGCAGCCGTTAGTCAAGGGGAGGGGAAACTGTTGAACTGTTGTGATTAAAGAGATAGGTACACAGTTATTTCTTACACGTGTTATCTTTTTTATATTATTTATTTTTTCTGTGCAGGTGAGTACAATGAAATAGCCTCAACAGCGTAAACCAGCAAAGTAACAAACATGAGATTACATGAATATGGCATTCACTAAAATCAGCACATTTTTTAAAATATCATGCTAGTAAATAAACTAGAAAAATAATATGTCAATAGATATTGAAGAAAGGACAGGTTAAGATCAGATTATGTTAACTGACAGTTTTGTTAATGGTAATGCCACTGGGTATCAGACAAAAGAAAAGAAGGTATAGCATAAAATAGAAGCATTATCTTGCAATATAAGCTGAGATGGTGTCCATGATACACAGAAGATTCATCTGTGTTATTCATCCTAGGCCACAGGAAGGCCAGAGTAGAAAGGCCAGCTCCACACCAGGATGTCCCCATCCATCTTTATCAGGCTTTTCAGATTCCGTTGAGATTCAATCTGCTTGTTAATCAATGAGTTGTAGTACAAAGATTCCCCACATCTTTGGCCACAGGTCTTGTAGGAGGTCAATCCTCAAGACCATACATACGCCACCTCCAAGTGGTAAGATTGTAGGCCCTCAGGTGTCAGGATCTTACCTGGTGTGGAGTCCGACGTGCAGAGTTATACGCTTACCCTTGCAAATAAACAAAGACCAAGGTGACCAAGTAAGAAGCCACCTGGGCTGTGAGTCTGTGCACGGGGGCTGTGCAGGAATAGTGCTCCAAGTCGCAGTACAGGCAAGGACAAGCAGAAGAATGGTCGAGGAAAGCCGAAGTCAGGGGAAGCCAGAGGTCAGAGTAAACGAAGAAATAAGCCAAGGTCGGAAAGCGGAATCAGTCTGTAGAACACTGGATCAGGATACACAATAACAGGAACCAAACAGGAGAACCAGAGTCAATGAACTGAGCACTGCCCTCAGAGAGAGGCAGCCCCCCAGCCTGGCTAATTAGCGGATATGCTTCAGTTGGACTGAGATTGACAGGAGCTGCCACAGGTAAAGTCCAGCCCCCGGTGCTGGAGACAAGGCAAGAATAAACATCATATTAAAAGAAGAACTGTAGTGTGGTTTAGAGGTAAGACAGCAGGACCAGCATATCAAAGGACCACAGTTGAAATTCCCTCAGAACCACCTGGGGGGTGGCTACTCCTGGCTGTCTGAATGGCACTGTGCTAATTGTGACATCAGGTTCTTTTCGTCACAGGTGACCCTTTTGGTTCATGGACAGCTGCTTGAAGTTAAATCCAACCAGGCCACCAGCCCAGAAGAGGAGCAGGAAATTGATTCTGCAATTTGAATCTGCTGGACAGCTGATGGAGTGGCTTTGAATATGATGCCAGAATTCCAGGCATAGAGCTTTGAATATGGTGTTGAAGAGGTGTCTCCGCCATCTAGATATCTAGATCTTCTTGGCTTTTCTGATAGTCTGCTGCGGCAGCCACATGGATTGCGACATACCAGGATTACATGCTTCTATCAGGAGACCGAGTGTCTCAATGGAAACAGGGGGGTGGGGGCAGCTGATTGGTAGCTGTGAGATAAGCACCAAGCCCCACGAGATCGGCTGCTTAACCTGAGCACCCAAACACCTGAGCCCATCCAAGTAGGCCTCAAGGCCAGTTGAGTGTAAGTCAGCAAGCTAAACACCTCAGTACAAGCTACAAGAGTTGCAGGCTGTTATAAGTCATCTGCTTGTAGTTCAGAGCCTTATTTGCAGGAAGATCGACAATGAACAATCCTTTAGTGGACATGACGAAAAGGTCAGCACAGAAACAAGTCTGGCCATACTGGAAGCCAGGCCCCACCTCCACACAAGATAACTTAAAGGGACACTATAACCACTCAAACAACTTTAACTCAATGAAGCAGTTGTGGTGTATAGAACATGTCCCTGCATTCTCACTGCTCTTTTCTTTGCTGTTTACCATTCACTTTGTTTATGAAGCCCCAGTCACACCTACCGGCATGTGACTTGCACAGCCTTCTTAAACTCTTCCTGTAAAGAGTCATCTAATGTTTATACTTCCTTGATTGAAAGTTCTGTTTAATTTAAATCTCTTATCTCTTGCCCTGTTAATAGCTTGCTAGACCTTACAATAGTCTCCTGTATATAATTTAAGTTTAACTTACAGAGAAGGAAATAAAAACGTTTAAAGTAAGTTAAATCTGACTGAAAGTGAAACCTTTTTTTTCATGCAGGCTGTGTCAGTCACAGCCAAGGGAGGTGTGGCTAGGGCTGCATAAACAGAAACAAATGTGATTTAACTCCTAGATGGCAGTAAAACTTCAAAGGCAGGAACTGCATGCAAAAACTGTCATTAAGCTAAAGTTGGTTTGGTGATTATAGTGTCCCTTTAAAGGTAAGTTTAATTTAATGAAAATAAACCTGTAGCCCAGAGGCTCCACGTTAGGAGTATTAAACCACAGTGGCCCGGGAGTAACTGAGGTTAAAGATCTATGTAAGGAGGGATTAATATATTGGATGTGCCAGTAACAAAACAAAATAAAAATTGTCTTTGGCAATAATGTACTTTTGACAATACATACAGTTAAAATGGTATGTTTCACTCTTAGCAAGGTGGACTAAAAAGCTGTATTTGATGAGCTATCCAAAGTTATCTATATGTCTTATGAATTGCATGCATATATCATTGCATGTCAAATCTAAGATACCAATAGAGGAGTAAGAAGAAACCGCTATATATGGTGTGAGCATATTTTATATTTTATTGCTCATAGTCTATATTTTACCATCAATCATGGAAACAAGCTCTTCATGTTTAAAATTACTAATTGTTGTTGTGAATTACTTGTCCTTTTTTTATGTAGGATTTTTTTTGGGTTGGGGTGAGCTTAAAAAAAAAAAAATGCTAGCTTACTAAAAACAATCATTTCCGTAGCATATGTGCTTTCTGTAATCAATGAAAGATAGTTTGTCTCCTACAGCGAAATCTGGTGCTAAATAACACTGGTTTCTGCATGCCCTTTACTAAATGTCGTCCAAGTTATGCTCTGCGAATGTTCACCACACATGTAACTTGTTTCCCTTCAAGTTCCTAGTATCACATTGCATAATTTATAATACGTGTGTAAAACAATCTGTTTTAAATTATCTAAGCGAGCTGTACACAGGAGACTCCACCCATAAACATTTTGCTGCACAGATCAAGCTAATGTTTTTTCTTATATGATTTTGATCTACGCAGTGCAGAATTATTTAAATTACAGCGAGCTAAACAATCTTTATATCTTTACAAAACGCACAATACATCTTTTTTTTTTTTTCATTTTTTAAATTCTTCATTTTATTTGTGCATGTGATTAACAGACATATTAGCTATGCCACAACAGCAGGAGCAAACTGATCGATATACATAGCAAGACATCCTTATGGCATTGGTATCGTTGCACATTTTTAGATTAGAGTAGTTAGGAGAGAAAAATCAGGCATGACACTTAGTAAAGAAGTTAAGTAGTTATGAGTGAAACTGGGCTTATTTGCCATGACAGTACCTATTGGCACTGCCACTTTGCTATCTGCACCCAACAAGGATTAAGTGGACATATACATATACAGCACTGTGCATGAGTTCGACACATAGAATTACTATCTGAGCCTGCTGGGACCAATGTTATAAGAGGTGTGTTTTGCAAGGCAGAGAGGAGCTTAGCTAGGACAACAAGCAAAATAGGAAAGGAAAACTTAAGAGTGATTCTTGCAAGGTGGAATAAAGTTGTACCATATAGCTACTGGATCAGTCCTTTTGATGAGATCTTATAAAGTCCTGAATGCTCAAAATTATGGCAGAGTTCCTAGAGTCTTTGCATATGGTGAGCTGCATCACAATCATGTAACACATTCAAATTAGACTATGCGTTAGAGGACCTACGTGGGTTTGTTTAATCGATACCCAGTGCTGGCAGTGTGCTTGCTCTGAAGGTTGCTTGTCCGTCTGGGAAAGGGTGCACCTTGAGGTGGTGAGTGGTGCGCTGTGTCGCACAGGAGAAGCATGGATGCAGCTGCAGCTACTGTAGATGCCTCCAGGAGGGATAGGGTGGGCCTCACGAGAGTGATGGTGCTTTCCACAGGCACAAAGGAATTTTTCCACCAAATATATATGCTGCAAACATCACCTTGTTTAGCCCAGTGTAGTGAGCCGACACATCCCTGGAGCAGGTTACTGTGGTGGTCAGATGGCGCTGGATGGATTCCTCTGTGTGCAAGTTTCATCCTGTGCGTAGTTCGCACATGTGGCTGGCGTGCGGCGGCCATCTCGGGAGTGTTTCCCAGCAGTGTGATTGTTTTCCGCCCAGCTTGGCGTAATAGCAGTTGCTTATGTAGACCGTGATAATCCCCCCCCCGGTCCGGGGGGGAAGGCCAGACACCAACCAGAGACCCGGGAGAGCAGCCTTCTCATCCCGGCTCAAGCTCCAGCACGCCTCGGGCCTTTGTCAGGTTACTGTAGGCGCCAGACAGCATCTCCGATCTCCTTCATTTCAAAGCTGCTAACATAAAATAGATTTAAAAAATAAAGAACAGTTGTGGTGTTGTGCAATGCTAAGTGTACACTAATGGTATGAGAGCTATTAACTGTTTACTCATTTAATCCACCACTCATTAGGCATAGGCAGCTGGGTATGGTGGGGCCCACGAAAACAGGCACCCCTATTGTATCATTAACTCTCCACATCCCACAGCTGAAGCGTGTACAGATATAAAACAACTTGTAGCAGTTACTTTACAAGGAGACTGTGGGTGCATTTTATCTTTTTTTGTCCAACCTTTTTAAGCATTTTGACAAAGAAAGAGAAGTTCACTCATCCATCATGAACTGAAAGCTAATTTTTGGACCAGTTATTGCCTCTTGTTGATGGGACAAATGTATGTGGTCAAGATGAATTAAATTAATTTGTTGTCCAAAATACTCAGATGGCCTCTTGTGGCTTATCTCTCCATTCATTTGGTCTAATAACCACCTTGACTTGTTTGCTACTACTGACAGTTTCCCTTTAATTGCAAAACCATCAGATACCTAGCAACCAAAGCTGTCTCGTTTGCCTATACGTTTTACTTTCTTATTATTTATCCAGAATATTAGTACAGGAAAGAAGGGTAATCTATGACTAATTGCCATTAAACCTCTCAGAACCACCATACTGACACAGCCTGTACAAATATACAAAGGCCAAAAACAAATATTCTGGATGACTATTGAGGGTGGAGAACTTTCACATGATCGTGTTCCAGGAAGAATGGATTGGTTTGAATGCCAAGAATTCTCTGTTTTTTGTGTGAAAATTACATGTTCTTAACTGATAAAATCCCTGTACATTTAGCACTCTCAAAAGTGGTGTGTGGAAAGAACAGCAAAATAATATGCCTATATATTGCCCTGTTTTATTTGATTTTAATTTGCATTTGTTTTATTAAACAGTGCCTGGAAAGCTGTCTCCAAGAACAGCTGCGATTAAAGGGCCAGGTGAGACTTCTAGAGCTCCAAGTGAAACTTCAACAAATAAAAATCCAGAACCTGTTGCAAGAAAGGGAGCTTCAGTTAATGGACAGAGGGGATGAGCAGATTGTGATCGATCTGGGAGATAAAAGAAGTTATGCAGGTTGGAACATCGGTGATTTCCTATTGTTTAAAAAAGCACTATAAATCATGGCATTCTAAAATGTTGACATCCATGACTGATCAGTGTACACAACAAAAATCTAGGGAGCTGGGGTCAATGATATATCCACCTTCATTCAAATTGCAATATGCATAAAAAATAGACTGCTTAATTGCTGAAGTCACAAACTATAAAAATATCAGAATGGAACAATGAGAACAAAACAAAAAACAAAAGTCAGTAATATATCCAATTTTAAAACCAGGATTGTTGGTAATGGGTATTCCTTGAGGACCGTTTTAGGAAACTCTTTATCAGCAGAGAAGTGCAAAGCAAATTTTTGCACAATCAGTCAAAGTTCCAAAGTAGAAACATTTATAGTTTTTGTATAGAACACAAGATTTAGAGTATGCAGCCTCAACAAGAATTATCTAGAAATTTGAATTATCTAGTACAGGCATAGGCAACCTTTGGCACTCCAGATGTTTTGGACTATACCCCTCATGATGCTTTGCCAACATTATGGGTGTAAAAGCATTATGGGAGATGTAGTCCACAACATCTAGAGTGCCAAAGGTTGTCTACCTCGATCTAGTAGTTTATTAGATGGCAGAGTGTTAAGATATTTCCAAGAATATCAAATAACTCCACTGAAGACAGTCAAGCTCCAAAAAAAGGCAGCACAATAACAACTATATAGACACACTACATTTGCTCTTAGCTTTTAAATAGGCAGAAAGCACCTCTACCAGGACACTATGCCTGCCAACTGTCCCCAACTTGGCCGGTCAGTCCCGATTTTCGTTTTCCTTGTTATCCTGCTTTTGGGAAATCTAGGGAACTGTCCTCAATAATAATAGCACAAGCACATCAATAGACAATGATTACAGACAATAGACATCAATAGACAATGATTACAGCACTAGGATCCTATAGGAAGCCCTGTATGTCCTGCTCTCAGTGGACCAGGCTGCATGATTGACAGGCAGCCTTGAATGCATTTATGGCAGGTTGATCTGACATTAAGTCAGGTAGACCGGCCTCCTTCCTGGGCAGATCGGCTAACCCACACTAGCAAGCCTTTCTCCCCTCCAAATACTACCAAGACTAAAATTTAACAAAAACTAAGACTTAAAGTAGAGTGAAGTGCATAGTGCTAGTAAGTGCTCAAAAGTGAGAAAACAAATTGACCCGACGCGCCTTTTGGTGCTTACAACGGCACTTCCGTTAGGGGTTTGATAGTGTGGGTTAGCTTTGTAGCTTAGAACACCCATGAAGGTGTTGTTCAGGAGATGGAGCCCTATCTGGTTTAGGAGATGGATAGATAGCAGTGCTGTTGTATTACTATAGCATAGAACACCCACAAAGGTGTTTCCTAGATGCTGCAGACCACTAATTTAATGGACACTTAGACACTAGCTATGCTTATACCATAGTAGCACTCCACACCCAGGAAGGTGTATCCTAGGAGTTGCTCTATCCACACTCAGGAGTGGGAGAGACAGGGATCCCCCTGTGGCAATTTGCTCCTGCCTAGGCAGCAGTAAAATTTGGATGTGTTGATGAGATCCCATATGGCTTCACAGCCCAGGATATTACCAAGGGGTAATCTACCCACATACTTGGAGGTAATTGCCTACCACTACTTAGCGGGGAATTTGTTGTATTGTTTTTTATTTTTCTGATTACAATAAAGTTTATTCTCACTTTGATACATTGTTCTTAGCCAGCCCCCTGGAGGTTTTGTGGTTGTATACCCTACCAAGTTATTTTATATACATTAGTTAGCTGTTTTATTACTATTATTTTCTCCATTTACCTTACCAATTTGGAATCCCTCACTCTTCTTTGGTTTGGGATTCCATCTTTTTTCACATTTAACAATATCCTGATCTATTCTGTCTCCTTTTTTAGACTGTGCTGAAATTTATAATGAAGGACACAAACGTAGTGGATTCTACAAAATAAAGCCAATCCAGAGCACAAGTCCCTTCTCTGTGTTTTGTGACATGTCTGAAGGAGGAGGTTGGACTGTTTTCCAGAGACGCTCTAGTGGAATAGAAAACTTCAACAGGTAAACCTAAACAGGAACATTTTAAAAACTTTATAAACACTTTGGAGTTCTTAATGTAGGTGAGCTAGATGGTTACTACTACTTCCAGTGTAAACAGAGGAGCACTTCAAAACACATACTTACCTTATTTAAATAAGGGATATACAAGTATAAACTGGATAAAAAAGAGAGACATTGTAGTGTAGTATGTAAAGTCCGTATCAAGGAGTATAATAATTATAGTATTACACACTCACATAGGTTAAAGCCAGATATAGACAGGCTCAAATCACACAGGTAGATGTGCCACAAGGTGTCACAAACCCTCTTCTTTTTTTATTTTAGTATCTCTCAATAAAAGATATGCAAACAGAAGCACAAAGCTTCTGGCGTGATACAGTAAAGTGCTTAGTTACATGTATATATTGCTCACCTTAATTAGAGCCCAATATGCGTGGCTCTAGGCGTATCAGCTTGTGTCTCTCTTGTAGAGGGACACAACACTTCTTGTGCAAAGAAGCAGATATGAAGGTGAAGTCCACCAGGAAATGTTGGCATACAGTTATTAAAATAAGTAAAATCAACAAATAATACGTAAAAACAGTAAACAAAGTCCTTACGTGCTTCCACCTCCCAACATCAAAAAAGTTTGTACCAGTAACTTATTAACCCCTCCATCAAGCTGGCTTAATTTGGCAGTACATCTCCTGATGATCAAACATATCAACCCGAAAGAAAGGCTCTGTAACATATTGGTCCGTTCATTTACAAACTCCTCCTCCTCTTGGTCGAAAGAGGGACTTTTTGAGAATCTCAGACCTCTTGGGGTCATTTTGTTTGTTTTTTTGTGAAGTTAGGTCAATAGTCGCATAAGTGCCTTGCTTGCACAGATCCCTTTGGTCTTTGGACTTTTGAGTTCTCAATTTATTAACTGGAAATGGAATAGAACAACTGTAATTAGAGACTGCATATATATACCAACCATACTCTGGAACAGGGTGCTTGAAAAAGGATTTGTGACATTCAATACATGGCTTGAAAAAGGCTACTGACAAAGCCAAAATGTTACATTTTTAACTAGGAGCTTAATTAGGTTCCACTAGGCCCCGATGCTAGAATCAAAAATGGCCCCCATCCTTATGACTCCCTCCTAAGGAATACACCTAAGTAGGACGTGAGTGGGCTCAGTGTGTATGTGGTGGTTGGTAAAGTGTGATGTAATTTCATGGCATAATGACTGAGCAGAGGAGAACAAAATGGCAATGAACAGATATTGAGATCTGGCACAAAGAATAAGGTAGAAAAAGATAATAAATACAAATAAAAAAGGCAAGTGGCAAAGGAGGGAGTATAAGTATTAAGATACAGGAAGAATAAGGAAAGGAATGCCAAAAGAAAAAATCAACAACAGGGTTGATTTAAACTAAATTAGAGGTCTTCACATTATATTGCTAAAGAGAGAAAAAAAGTGTTTTTTTTTTGTTTTGTTTTTTCAACTATTTTATGTACTGTTCAAATTTAGTCAGTGATTGGCATATAGAAGTATAGTTCAAAATTACTTTGTTTTCTGAAAGAAAACAAACTATATATATATATATATATATATATATATATATATATATATATATATATATATATATATATATATATATATATATGTTGTGTTAGCATGTTAAATAACTAGTAGGAAAATCATGGGCCCACAAACAGATAAACGTTACAATGTGTCTGGTGCTGGGATTCAGAATAACTGTAATAATAAATGGGACAAATAAGTGTGTAGTTATAAATCTATTTTTTACCATACTTTACATGCTTTGTATCTTGTAGTCTCAATTTCACATTGACACCTGTTCCCATACCATCTTATGTTACTGTATTATGAAGCTACATGGATAACTTTCAACTGCGAACATACCTTATTGTTGTGTTACTCCCTCAAATTACTAAAAATATGATGAATTGGTCATGTTTCCCTATGTACTGATTCCTTTTTCTCAATAAAGGAACTGGACAGATTACAAGAATGGATTTGGTGATTTTGTTTCTGCAAAAGGAGAATATTGGATTGGGAATGATAACTTGCATTGTCTGACATTACAAGGTATAATAATATGATTTGACAGCCGTACACTGAAACAGATATTTTATTGTAATTTTTGATCAAGTTATTTGTAATAATTAGTAATTAGTGTAGCGTGTTTGCTGTGCATCACCTTAATTTGTGTGCACCTTCTTCTTAATAAATAGAATTACCAAGATTGTGTCCTACAACACTTTGCAAAGTTGGGTGAAGAACATTGAAAACTGTATAATTCCACAGGTTTTATGGTACTCGGGTCACGAGACAGTTAAGTTCATAGATTGTTTGGTCCTCCATTATCCTTCTTCACCAAATATTTCTTTATTATTGTTTTTGTACTTTTGTTTTGCACATGTGTTCAAAAAATGTTTGATTTTTTTACATTTTTATGATGTAAAACACTATAAATTCTAAAATAAATCTACATCCCATCTATAATATGGAAACATTTGTAAATTTACATTTAAAAAATGCACTTAAAAGGACACTCCAGGCACCCAGTACACTTCTGCCCATTGGAGTGGTCTGGGTGCCAACTCCCACTACCCTTAACCCTGCAAGTGTAATTATTGCCGTTTTCATAAACTGCAATAATTACCTTGCAGGGTTAACTCCTCCTCTAGTGGCTGTCTATTAGACATGATGAAGGGGAGGAGCAGCGGTGACCCGAAACCACCGCAGAGGGACATCAGCGGGGGTCTCAGGTAAGTCACTGACAGGGTTTTCACCCCTTCAGCAACCGGGAATGGGTGGTGGAAGGGAGAGGGGACCTGCAGTGCCAGGAAAACAGATTGTTTTCCTGGCACTGGAGAGTCCCTCTAACTATAATTTTAGAGTATTACACTGATACTACTTAATTTGAACGTTGTCATAGACAATATTTATATTTGCTTTTGCTGTTGCCTTTAGGTGACTACACACTAAGAATTGATCTGCTGGATTTTGAAGGACAAAGAAGATTTGCACAATATAAAAGTTTCAAAGTTGATGATGAACAGGTAGTAAAATATTATTTATCCAAATAATAGATCATATAATTGCTTTTTCTAACTAACCAAAGCAAGTTGAACTTTGGGTGATGCTGAGGGTGGTGATGCTGAGGGTGGTGATGCTGAGGGTGGTGATGCTGAGGGTGGTGAGGTGGGTGATGCTGAGGGTGGTGAGGGGGGTGATGCTGAGGGGGGTGATGCTGAGGGTGGTGAGGGGGGTGATGCTGAGGGTGGTGGGGGGGGTGATGCTGAGGGGGTGGGGGTGATGCTGAGGGTGGTGAGGGGGTGTGATGCTGAGGGTGGTGGGGGAGTGATGCTGAGGGTGGTGGGGGTGATGCTGAGGGTGGTGAGGGGGGGAGGAAAAGCCGAGGGTGGTGAGGGGGGGTGGGGGTGGTGAGGCTGAGGGTGGTGGGGGAGGCTGAGGGGGGGGGTGGTGAGGCTGAGGGTGGTGGGGGTTTGGGGGTGATACTGAGGTGGGTGATGCTGAGGGTGGGGGTGATGGTGGGGGTGATGCTGAGGGTAGGGGATGATGCTGAGGGTGGTGATGCTGAGGGTGGGGTGATGCTGAGGGTGGTGGGGGGTGATGCTGAGGGTGGTGATGCTGAGGTGGTGCTGAGGGTGGTGAGGGGATGATGCTGAGGGTGGTGAGGGGGGGTGATGCTGAGGGTGGTGAGGGGGGAGGTAAAGCCGGCGGGCTGGTGAGGGGGGGAGGTGGGGGTGGGTGAGGCTGAGGGCTGTGGGGGGTGGTGAGGCTGAGGGTGGTGGGAGGCTGAGGGTGGTGGGGGGTGGTGAGGCCGATGGTGAGGCTGAGGGTGGTGGGGGGTGGTGAGGCTGAGGGTGGTGGGGAGGCTGAGGATTGTGGGGGGGTGGTGAGGCTGAGGGTGGATGTGAGGCTGTCAGTCAGTGACCGAGGACCTGACACAGTCTGCCCATAGGTGGTTTAGGCGGCCGTGAGGCCCCAGCCAGTGCGAGGCCTTGGGCGGCCGCCTAAACCGCCTAATTAGAGAGCCGCCTCTGCGTAAAAAGCAAAGCAGTGATGCAGCTCCTGGAGGATGGAACTCCAGAAGCTGAAAAAAAAGACTGTGGTGCCCACAAAGAAGAGTTTCCACTGGCCACTGCTCAAATGAAAAATAAAAAACTGGATATTTCAAAGCATAGGAGACTTCTTTAGAGCTGTGAGTTTTCCAAATGCAACATTATTTTTTTTAAATTCCATATAACACTCACATGAATATAATATATTTGTCCATTAACCTGACTACACTAATTATCTTCCCATTGAACCTTGAGATTCTATTTATCTCTTTTCTCCTATGGAAATTGCCAATTACCACTTCTGACATCTGACAATTTGAACAGGCGCTGTAAATATCTATACTTATCCATATGTATATTTACATACCACCTACGCTAGAAACTGTGAGAATCTATCACTCTACTCTAATTCTGTCAGTCATTTGTTTATTGATTGAATGATTTACATATACATTTTGGAATACCACTGTATTCAGCACAATTCACTGTATGAATAACATGAAATCTCATCCAAAATATACCCTATAATGGATATCAGTATCAAACACTCAATAACCCTAGATTATGAATATGGTGTCATTTCAGAGCTCATACCAGATGAGCTGTGGAGACTATACAGGTACAGCTGGCGATTCCCTTGCTGGTGGTTTTAATGCTGAAGTTGAATGGTGGGCAAGTCACAACGGCATGAAATTTAGTACCCGGGACAGAGACAATGACAATTATGAAGGACACTGTGCTGAGGAGGACAAGGGTGGATGGTGGTATAACAGGTATGCTACCTAACTTTTTTTTTTAATAACTGTCTTCATTTTTGGTTTTGTGGAAAATGTTAAAATAATGTTATTATAAACTGCAAACTATCACTATTCAATATACTTTACAGACAAGTAATTGCAATTAAGCAATTAGTTGAGACTTGTGCGGTATTGTTGCAATTTGAATTTTCCTACAGAGCACCACAATTATAGAATAACCTCAAGGACACAGTCAAATCTTCATTCAATCTAAAATCTTTTAAGAGATCTATGGCAATATACCTCAGCACAGAATGCACCTGTCATGGTTGAATATATTTATTACCTGTTATGTATTCAATTTATATATGTGTATATGTATATTTGTGTATATATAAATCCAAATAGGTTATGGTGGGGAAAAATTGTGATTAGAAACCCCTTCCACCTGAAGTCTGTGAAGAGTTAATACAATGTTAAACAAAAATCTGCACACCAGTCAAGCCATAAGACTTGCTTTTCCCACAGAAATCAAAAATCTGCAGTAATGTTACTACCGCAAAGGATTCTGTCCATGAGTGGTTTACTGGCTTTGCATCTTTTCCTAAGTTGTGTTTCAAAGCTGTTGCATACAGCAAACACAGACTCAAAGGAATCCATGTTTAAAATGGAATGAGGCAAAAATGTGATTCTTTGTTAAACTAATTTGCATATGCCCACCCATAATCCTTTGCGGTAGTAACATCACTGCAGATTTGGGATTTCTGTGGGAAAAGCAAGTTTTATGGCTTGACTGGTGTGCAGATTTTTGTTTAACATTGTATTAACTATATATACACTGGTTTTGCATCTTTTCCTAAATTGTGTTCCATTCAGTTGTATACTGCAAACACAGATTAAAAGGAATCCATGTTTAAAATGGAATGAGGCAAAAATGTGATTCTTTGTTAAACTAATTTGCATATGCCCACCCAGAATCCTTTGCGGTTGTAACATCACTGCAGATTTGGGATTTCTGTGGGAAAAGCAAGTTTTATGGCTTGACTGGTGTGCAGATTTTTGTTTAACATTGTATTAACTATCCACAGACTTCAGGTGGAAGGGGTTTTCAATCACAATTTTTCCCCACCATAACCTCAATTTTTCCCCACCATAACCTAATTGGATTTTGCTTCCCAAGCACTACCAAGCCTCAATAAGGAAACCAGTAACCAACCTCATGCTGAAGAGTTGCATTAAAGAACCACTATAGTGCCAAGAAAACATACTCGTTTTCCTGGCACTATAGTGCCCTGAGGGTGCCCCCACCCTCAGGGTCCCCCTACCGCCCGGCTCTGGAAAGGGGAAAAGGGGTAACACTTACCTTTTTCCAGCGCTGGGCGGGGAGCTATCCTCCTCCTCTCCTCCCCGTCGGCTGAATGCGCACGCGCGGCAAAAGCTGCGCGCGCATTCAGCTGGTCGCACAGGAAAGCACTATCAATGCTTTCCTATGGACGCTTGCGTGCTCTCACTGTGATTTTCACAGTGAGAATCACGCAAGCGCCTCTAGCGGCTGTCAATGAGACAGCCACTTGAGGATTTGGGGGATGGATTAACCCATTTATAAACATGTTTAAAAAAATGGGTTAACCCTAGCTTGACCTGGCACCCAGACCACTTCCTTAAGCTGAAGTGGTCTGGGTGCCTAGAGTGGCCCTTTAACAACGAAACAGCTGTCCATGAGTGATTCACTGGTTTTGCATCTTTTCCTACATTTTGTTCCAAGCAGTTGTATACTGCAAACACAGATTAAAAGGAATCCATGTTTAAAATGGAATGAAGCAAAAATGTGATTCTTTGTCAAACTAATTTGCATATGCCCACCCAGAATCCTTTGCGGTTGTAACATCACTGCAGATTTGGGATTTCTGTGGGAAAAGCAAGTCTTATGGCTTGACTGGTGTGCAGATTTTTGTTTAACATTGTATTAACTATATATATATTTATATATATATATTGTATATTATATTTTTGTAATATTGTACAATGCAATGATTTGTGGACCCAGGACATACTTGAAAACGAGAGAAATCTCAATGTATCCATCCTGGTAAAATATTTTATAAATAAATACATTTGATCAGTACTACTAAGTAATAGTTATTATCTCATAATTCCACTAGGTGTCACTCTGCCAATTTAAATGGTTTGTACTACAAGGGACCTTACACTTCTCAAACAGATGACGGGATTGTTTGGTACACGTGGCATGGATGGTGGTATTCTCTAAAATATGTTGCCATGAAGATTAGACCTGCAAACTTTGAGCCAAATGTTGTTTAATTTGTTCACTCAACAGTAAACAAATCTGAAGCTGGTAGGTCTGTTTTGCATGAAATCAATTCACGATTATATTTTTCACTAAATTTGACACGTTTTACGAATGCTCTAAATAATGTATCAGTAGAAACATTTTTCTTTCCTCTAAACTGCTTACTAATAGTATTGTATATGTTTACTTAAACTATGTGGGAAATGTAGTAATTAAAGTGAAATATGAGAATTGAATTGGCTCAAAATGTACACTTGCCACTAGTCATTGGCAAATGAAAATGTAGCCCTAGCATGCACATTTTCACGCCTGCTAAGTAAGCTATGGCTTGCGGTGGTGAGTAACGGTTAAAGGACCACTATAGGCACCCAGACCACTTCAGCTCAATTAAGTGGTCTGGGTGCCAGGTCCCGCTAGTTTTAACCCTGCAGCTGAAAACATAGCAGTTTCAGAGAAACTGCTATGTTTACATTGCAGGGTTAATCCAGCCTCTAGTGGCTGTCTCCCTGACAGTCACTAGAGGCTCTTCCGCGTCAAAAAAGATCCCCATAGGAAAGCATTGAGTAATGCTTTCCTATGGGCGTGTTTGAATACGCCTCTGGCCGTGCATGCGCATTCGGCTTAACAAAAAGCTGACGTCGATGGGAGAGGAACATAGGCGGAGCCTGACCCAGCACCAAGGGAGCCCGGCGCTGGATTAAGGTAGTTGAAGTGGTTTTAACACCTTCAGCACCGAGGGAGGGGGGCCCAGAGGGAGGGAGGCACTCCAAGAGCCTTTAGTGCCAGGAAAACGGATTTGTTTTCCTGGCACAATAGGATCCCTTTAAAGCCTGGCTAGTAGTGTAGGACCTCAAATGTAAGCCCTGTTATGAGCTGATATTTTCTAAATGATTCTACTATATAGGTAATAGGAATACCTTTTATATATTCACTGCTGTATAGTATTGGGTGTCAACAGGCCAGAACAACGATTTGCCTACCTTTCTATAGCAGTTGGTACCACCAGATCTTAGGTAGATCACATCCAGAGATTATCACTTCAGCTTGGAAGCAGAAAGTGGCTGGGATGCAGTCCTACAGGGAGTATGTATGCATTTTACAGTAAGACTGAATTGGATCTGTAAATGCATCTGCAGTACAGTTGTAAGAGGCAGCATTAGCTCTTGCCTGTAGGTCAATCTGGAGTCTTCTGTGGATTGCAGCCGGGAGACATAAAACATAGCATGGAGAGTAATTAGTATGTAACTGTATATATTAACTAAAGCTTCTCAAACTAATTTTACATAAGAAATTTAAGCTGCGCTATACCACAAATAAACAGATGTTGTCACTGCAATTATAGATAACATATAGATACATTGGTAAAAAAAAAAAAATTAGACATGAACTTATATTACAGCAATTCATTACTATAAGGTAAATAAAATAGTGAGGTCTATATTACACGTAATTATTGATTATTTAGTAATCCCATTAGCTTTATCAAATAATGTCATCTAAAACAGGGTTGTTCACTAAAATGAGAATTGTCAGGAATGCAGGTTGAATTCAAAGTGAATTTCAAGTTTAAGGGCAAAGTAGCTTAAATTCACTTTTAATTCCCTACATTGTCACATCAGTGAATAATAACCCTGTTGATCTTCAGGCAAGGATTAGGATCCCAGAGGGCCCTAGGCAGGCTACTTATTTGTCCCCACCCCTTCTTCCTGTAGAGATGATGAAAGGGGCCAAGTAAAATCATGGTCACCTAAGGTCACCTTATGGTTACTCTTCCTATTATCTTCAGGGCACTCCCAAATCAACTCAGAATGTCATATTATTCTAAAACAGTCCATAGTAAGATATCACTATTATTTCCATAGTATACAGGTTGCCTAGGATTAAGCTAGGTGGAGAGCTGTATAAACATTCAGCTTATCGATGAATCACTAAACATTCAGCTTTTTAACACTCGTCTATCAATCGTTGTTTGCCTGCACGGGTTGATGCGCATTTGATGCAACTCTAAGATCTCTGTCCAGTGATTCAAAATGAATGAGCTCTTATTGCCACTTATTTGTCTTATTTGATACATTTGCTTTGTACTTTGTCTTGTGTGTTTTGTTTCTGCACATTTTGACGTATTGTTTTACATGTAATAAAATTGTTACTGATTTTATTTTTACATGTTTTACATAACTAGTGTATATATGTGTTTGTCTACTGAATGTTGGTCTTTCACCATAGCAATTACTTTGATCTATATACTGAATTCTTGCAAGTTATTGATAAAAGTGACATTTTCTAAGTGATATTAAGGCCAAAGTAGCCATACTGGAAGTATAGTGGACTTAGATTTTCTTTCCTAATTTGGCATATGGTCAACATATCCACAGAATGTAGCATAGCCAGGCTATATACAGTTGAACACTGGAACAATGTACTTGACAGGAGGATGACAAAGTAATTATAGAAACAGAAACAAAAGACTGAACTAAACAGTTCTTGACTGGCAGTACATTAATATCGAACTTGACAAAAATACTTCAATTGGTCAGAAATAATCTAAAGCTAGATATGGGACATGTATTAATACCAACAGCTAAGTGGAAAAATATAACTTGCATGAGCTGGTTGGCTTGCCACACTTGACTCTTCTGAGCTTGGCACACGAAGACAAGGACACAATTATACAGGCCAGATTGTGCACTATCTCTATGTCTGGATATGTGTGCCTTGCAACGCATCTTTGTGATTAGTGAACTTTGCTTGATGACAAGACCAGACACCAGCAATGCATCTTGGGGGAGATGCAGGATATCAGCAAAAGAAACCACCCTACAAACTGTTCTTGATAAAATGAGATAACTTCCAAGAACCCATTTATAAAGAACATCAAATATATGATAGATAGCATATACCGCTCCCATTATTCACTATAGTGTCCCTTTAGAACTCCAAGAGTTCTCACATGTGCTACACAGACTTGAAGAAAACACAGATTAAGGAACAGCGCACACACACCCAGAAAAAAACAGTTTTAAGTTTTACCAGGCTACTCAGCATCACCTATCTTGGCAAACACATATGGAATTCAGTTACACCATATGGCCATATTGTGTTAAGCCCATCACTACTTCACAGTATTTAAATATACTTGAACAAATATAAGCATAACTACTTCATCATGCAGGTGGAGAAAATGGCTGAGGTTGACAAGGATGAGATGGGGTTACCTGTGTTCAAAACCTGTGCCTTTAGGTTGTGTCCCACCACCACTCATGCAACAATTATAAAAGAAAGACTATTTGACTTGTACAATTCTAGGCCTAGACTAACATATATGCAAACCAGTTTACTTTCTCATAAAAAAGAATGTATAGAAAGTGCCTGAGTTCTTCATACGTAGTCACATAGTAATATAGGGTGAAAACACAGACTCACATCCACGAAGTCTAGACTTTCACCTATCTAGGTTACTGGCGTTGATCCAAAAGAAGGCAAACGGTCTTTGCCTGTTATACACTCCTCTGACAGGGATGCACTGACTGTGGCCTAGGCCCCGGGCAAAATTAGGAGCTGGGCCCCCTACAGACGGATATATAATGGTGTAGAAGGGCTGTGTATTTGATTGTATGTGCACTTAAAGTGAATGTATGTTTCTGTGTGTATATTCACTGTGAGCCCTGTCAGGGGCGGACTGACCACTCTGGTAGATCGGTCATGGACCGAGGGCCGAGGCAGTCAGGGGCCCGGCTGCCTGAACACTCATACTCTCTCTGGCTGGGGAGTTCAGAGCTCTCCCCAGTCAGAGAGGCACAATTTAACATGATACATGTTCCCACTCACCTAATGAGACCTGGCAGCAATCCAGCTCTTGCCAGGTCTCCTCCATCTTCTATGTGCGGAGCGTGTGAGAGGAGGAGGCAGGGCCGGGGGAGGGGAAGTGACATCACTTCCTGCCCCCTCCTCTCCTCCTGCAGAATATACAGAGTGAGCAGCCTGGCAGAGTCAGCAGGTATGTAAATCTCCCATCTCCCCCTTAACTCATATCAGCACCCACTTCATCTCCCATGCCACCTCCACCTCAGCACCCACCTAAGCATCCGTCTCCCCCTTAACTCACTTCAGTGCCCAATTCATCTCCCATGCCTCCCTTCACCTACTTCAGCCCGATGCCCCCTCCACCCACCTCAGCACCCACTTCATCTCCCATGCCCCCTCCACTTCAGCCCCCACTTCATCTCCCATGCCCCCTCCACCTCAGCCTCCATGCCGCCTCCACCCACTTCATCTCCCATGCCCCCTCCACCTCAGCACCCACTTCAGTTCTATGCCCCTCTCCAACTCAGCACCCATCTCCCTTAGCCCCATGCCCCCCCTCCACCCACCTCAGCACCCACTTCATCTCCCATGCCCCATCCACCTCAGCACCCACTTCAGTTCTATGCCCCTCTCCAACTCAGCACCCATCTCCCTTAGCCCCATGCCCTCCTCCACCCACCTCAGAATCCACTTCATCTCCCATACCCCCTCCATCTCACCACCCATTTCCCCCTTAACTCATATCAGTGCCCACTTTATCTCCCATGCCTCCTCCACCTCAGCCCCCATGCCCCCTCCACCCACCTCAGCACCCACTTCATCTCCCATGCCCCCTCCACCTCAGCACCCACTTCATCTCCCATGCCCCCTCCACCTCAGCCCCCATGACCCCCTCCACCCACCTCAGCACCCACTTCATCTCCCATGCCCCCTCCACCTCAGCACTGGAGAGTCCCTTTAATATCTATTATCCATACAAACACACTACAGCCCTAGTACAGATGCCTACTACAGCCCCTATCCCACAGACTTACAACAGCCCTTACCACACACACTGCAACACAACCAGTTGTCTCAACCCACATACTACACTGCAAACAGACTCATTCTGCCCCTGTCAGCGCCTCCATGCAAACCCAATCTAATACACTGCCCTCTCCCCCCATTTTAATACTCTGCCCACAAATCCAATACATTTCCCCAAGTCCAATCTAATACACTGTCCCCTCCACCCAATCTAATACATTGCCCCTTAATCTAATACACTACCCCCACTCCTACCACTCTAATTTAATACACTGCCCTCCCCCAATTTAATACACTGCCCTCCCTCTCCCCAATTTAATGCACTGCCTCTCCTTCCCTTAATTAATACACTGCCCTACACAAATTTAACACACTGCCCCACTCCCACCACTCGAATACACTGCCGCCTCCCCCAATTTAACACACTGCCCCCTCTCACCACTCTAATACACTGCCCCCCATTACCACTCTAATACACTGCCCCTCCCCAATTTAATACAATGCCCCCATTCTTCACCAAATTAGTACACTGCCCTCCCCATAATTTAACACACTGCCCCCTCCCACCACTCTAATGCACAGCCCCACTCCCACCCTCAAATTAATACACTGCTCTCCCTCCCCAATTTATTACACTTGCACCTTCCCTCCCCCAAATTAATACACTGCCCACTTCCTCCCCCAATTAAAACACTGGCCCCAACCCTTCCCAAATTAATATACTGCACCCTCCCTACCCCAAATAAAACACTGCCCCCTCCCTCCCTCTCTCAAATAATACACTGGCCCCCTCCCTTCCCCAGTTAGTATACTGCCCTCCCTCCAATTAATACACTGCCCCCCTCCCTTCCCAAAATTAATACACTGCCTCCTCCCTCCCTCAAATTAATACACTGCCCCCCTCCCAAATGAGTCACCCATCCTCCAGTTCCAGCCCTGCTCTGCTCAAGCAGGCAAGAAGCTCCTCTGGCACTGCAAGCAGGAGGTAAGGGGGAGTGGCTGGCCTGCTCTGCAGACAGACAGCCACTCTGCCCTCTCACGACCGTGGGAGGGAAGACAAGAAGCAGACAGGAAATATCTTTCCTGTCTTGCGACTGGTCACAGCCACAATACAAAGCGGCCACAGGGCAGGCGGGCGCCAAAAAAACTTAATGACTGCTGCAAGTTTGACGTGCTCGGTCTAAGGCAAAGGAAAGGAATTTTTATAGTAATAGCAATAAGGATGTGGAATTCTTTGCCTGAAGAGGTGATTTTATCAGAGTTTGTACAGATATTTAAACAGCAACTCGATGAATACTTGCTAATGCATAACATACAGGGATATTATTTTTAATTAGTGGGGAAACAGCTTCTGGGTTGAATGAGAGATCTGACTACTATTCACAAGATTTGAAGGAGTTTGTTTCCAAGTGTGTTGCAAAATAGAAAAGTGCTTCCAGCTATTGAAACTTGCTGGTAATTTATATAATATGAAAAGTGTGTCATCTTTCTTTACGCACAAAAGGTTCGTAGAAATTGTACTTTTGTAAATTAACCTTGTTAAACCCACTGATAAGTCAATGAGAACAGCAGTCCTGTTACTTCCCTGATGTTGCAACTCAATTGAAAGCTAGACTCAAAGACAGACAATTGCCCAAAGCACCTACCTTGCAAAGACTTCTCATTGAGCTGCATTTGTTAGCATGCCCAGACTGACCATTGGACAAACCAAGCAAATGTTAGTGGGCCGTAATGGCCATGGGACGAGGCTAACATGGGAGATCAGAGGATTTCCACTGTGAGCCCATGCAGGCCCAGTGCTATCCAAGTGCCGGTCTTGCTGTGTGCCATCACAGCCAATGAGAGATCAAAGATCTCCCTCACCAGCCCAAAGGCACTTAAATCTTGAGAGAACATGGATGAAGGAGAACCTAGGGACTCTAGCCAGCAGCTCTGCCAAGTGCTGAATGTGCCTCTTACAATTTCAGAGTGTTGGCTCAGTTACCATAACAACATTCTGACACAGCACAGAAAAACGTGAGACTGAACTCTAGCTGGAGGAGCTGCAGGCTAGAGTTTACTCACCACTTGACCACCAGGATTTACAATGCCCCCCCATCCCCCTACCTGACCAAAGATAAGAAGGGAATGGGGATATAAAGTTTATTTCAATTTTTAATAAACAAAAAATCTAAAATCTTCTTTTGCTCCTATCTGCCCTGCCACCATAAAATATAGACATACACCTCCCAACACATTAATACATTGCACCCCTCAACCACTGCACCCATCGTACACACATTGCACCCCTAGATCTTCTATAGACACTACATTCCTTATGCACATACTGCAACACATACAAAATGCTACATCTCTTATAGACACACAACACCACTTACACTACATTCCAGACACACACTAGGTCCCCTATACACACTCTGGATGCTTTACACACACACAATAGACATCTGCTGCACCACCTACACACACTACTTTCTGAAATTCACACTCTGAATCCCTTAGGCACATACCAGATCCACTTTATGCAAACACACACTACATTTC